TGTATATTTACTTAAAGTAGAAACAGGCTTTGAATACACACACTAAAACACACTGAAAACTAACCTTACCGAACCTAACCTTACAAATACAGTCAAACTGTCAGCACATATTCATATACCTAGAGCTACAATGTACACACACACACACACACACACACACACACACACACACACACACACACACACACACACACACACACACATATATATATATATATATATATTCCTCCTCGCAGTATTTTTTTTTTTTTTCTCATCGTTACTCGCTGTCGACTAGTGGTGTTTTGTAGCTGTTATCTTGCTGGTGATTAATTTTGTTGTGTGAATATGTAGAAAGCAAAACGTATATTCAGAACAATATATATGTAGTATTAGCACACTTCCATGCAATAACAAACATTAATACTGATATGCGATTATAATAAAATCGTATACCATAATTTCGTCTGCATCAATTTAGGACAAAGTAAATAAAATTAGTGATGTGAATCATAATAAACCTCTTTACAATATCACCATCACTACCTGGACAATAAATTTAATCATATACATACATTCCTGTACACTCTTCCACACCCCGCAGACTCCCGGTCCAGCGCCTCCGTCTTCCACAAGAAGAGAGTCGACTTTTCATCTTTTAATGCAATTTCTCACACACACAACCAAATGCACTTGGAAAGCTTACTTCCATGGCATTTTATGTGGTTAACACACATCTTATATGAATGAATTGTTATATCACACGGCAGCGTTTGTAGATAACATAACATTATGAGATGCTCATGTACGCATCAGTGAGACACACACACACACATATGTGTGCGTGCACGCATACGGACACATATATAGACACATATGCATATTTCTTCTTAATATATCTATAGACTCAAATAAACTCATTGAGGTTGCCTTCATTTTCATGCAAGCGTTTTTTTGTTATTATTATTTCTTTTCTTTTTAATAACACAAACTCTGGTCTTTCGTTTTCAAACAATCATGTTTACAGCAAACGTAGGTAGAAAACGTGTATGATTCTTAAAGTATCAGTTGACATCATTCTATTTCTAATTTTATTTTCGCATGTATAAGTTTTTCTCATTAAAATCATGAAAATGGATATCAAGGGACATTAGAATTGAAGATTTTACTTTTTTATTGTATAACGTGAATTGACATCGCTTAATCATAATGTGTATATTTACATTTTATCAAAAAGGCATTTAGAGAGATTTCTGGGTGTCATAGGGGCAGTTCGAACCCTGGACTGTCTTCGTGAAACGAGAGACGTCGACGCCGATCTCCTTAAAGGCGGCCTCGCAGCGTCTCAGGTATTGGTCAGAAAGCTTTGGCGAGCGGGAGAAGATGAAGGCGAAGTCGGCGTAGTATCCGTAGTTGAATTCGACGCAGGAGTAGATGCACGAGAAGTTCTCGTAATCCGTGTCGAGGATGACATAGGGAGCGGTAAAAGCTGCAGAAATAATGGGAAAATATTTGTAATGAAACGATAATACATAAACATTAGACAATCAAGTACGATATTAGATAAAAACAATAAACTACACAAATAGCTGATAACATCAATACACACTAGAAAAGTAGAATATAGATAACTGATTTTCCACTATTTTCCTTTAACAACTTCCGATATTTGTTCAATAAATGCACAAAACAGAAATCATATTTCAATACTCACATCCTTCGTAGTCGATGGAGAGATGAGGGTCTCCAAGAGGCATGGGAAGAACCTGGCCGTTGTGTCTCATCAGGTTACCGTCAGCGTTGATGCCAGTAGACTTGGCGATGAATTTGCTTCCATCTGTAAATTAGTAATAGGTAATTATTATTAGATAAGTTAACATGAGTAGATTACAGGTTACATATCAACATCAGAAGTGTATAGTCAATGAAAATCCATCTTACCAAAGGAATATTCGTTGCGGACGCACTGCTTGAGGAGTTGGTATGGGTTGTTTGTGAGGGCAATTTCGTACCAGACGCCAGCATACTGAAATATTGATATTATAAATAATAATAATAATAATAATGAAACAAAGAGAAGAAAGGAAAGACATAATATGATCGTGATGAGAGAGACTAAAGGAAAGAAGAGAGGTGGAGGAGAGAGGAAAAAGAGAGAGAACCTGCTAGGATTTACTGACATACAAGCAACACATTGCATTCAACAAACCTTCGAATGGTTAGGTATTTGTTGTTCGAAGAGAGCTTTCTCGTTTACAGCTGGACACTTTCCTGGTACTAAGAAGTCAGGGATTTTGTCAGCTGCAACTGCTGCCACAAAGGCGACGAAGAACACAGCAGATTTCATGATTTCTTTCTTGCTTTTTCACAACTGATCCTGCTGTAGAATACGCGACTCCAGCTTTATATAGGAATGCTTAACATGGAGAGAGGTTCAAGATAAGGCAAGATTACCTATTTGCATTGCATTTATAACGGGAAAAAACTATTTTCAATCTTGGTATACAAATTAAGGATGTATTGAATTTCATTCTAATATCAAGTACATATTTTATAATATAACTGACTTAAAAAGAAACAAATAAACAATGAAAAGAGTGAAAACAATAAATCGGAGTTCGTGGCAACATGACTCGCAGAGCTCCGCCTCCGAGAAGGTAAGGTCCACCCACAGGTTTGAGGCAGGTATAAAACTAGCCACGTGGGGACTAAGGGTTACATTCACGATTCTCAGGGAACAGAATTTGTTATTCACCGTAGACTGTCATCTGAGATAGCATTATGTTTTCCACACTCGTGGCCGCTACCCTTGTGGCCTTGTCTCTGCTGACGGCATCCCAGACTTCGTTGTTCCTGGAAAATGCGCTAAAGTGGCCAACCAGGACAAGTTCGATCTTCGCAAGGTGTGATTTTATTGGTATTATTTATATTGCTGGGAATTATGTTTTAAATGTGACTGAGTAAACAAGTCTACGTTTACATTGTTTTAATACTGTGTCTTCCCAACAGTACTCGGGCCGCTGGTATCAGACTCAGATCATCGACAACGCCTATCAGCCATTCACTCGCTGCATCCACTCCAACTACGACTACTCTGACTCTGACTACGGCTTCAAGGTGACCACAGCTGGATTCAGCCCCAGCAACGAGTACCTCAGAATGCAGGGCAAGATCTACCCCACAAAGGACTTCCCTGCTGCCCACATGCTCATTGATTTCCCTACCGGTACGTGTGGAACACTTATCCTTGCGGGTATGTTAATGTTTTGTGGAACCCAATGCTATATTACTAATATGTGTAGTTAACTCCACCTAATGAATTTCCTTTCATCAACAGTTTTCGCCGCTCCTTATGAAGTGATCGAGACTGACTACGACAGCTACTCGTGCGTGTATTCCTGCATCGAAATGAGCGGCTACAAGGCCGAGTTCGGCTTCGTCTTCTCCCGCACCCCACAGACTTCCGGTCCAGCGAACGACAAGTGCGCCTCCGTCTTCCGCAAGAACGGAGTCGACTTCTCCTCATTCAGTGATGTTGCTCATACGGCCGAATGCGTCTACAGAGCATAGACATCAAATTCGTTACATATATTTTCACCATTAATTTTGTTTACTATAAACGATGTATAGAAATCAGATATAATCAAATTAAGTGTGCGCTTTAAATAAAAAGTCGAAAAAATACGGTTTATTATACTTCTATATATCATTATTTATAATTATGATACAGACTGTATTAGTATTTCTAAAATTGAGCTTTATAAGTCAACTGCACACAATTTCTGCAGCTCTCTTTAGTATAATATTAACAAAACTGAATATTCCCAAGCAGATTTTAAAAATATCTTCCTCATAGCTGTCTGTACTCCATGTACATTTATTTAAAGTAGAAACAGGCTTTGAATACACACACAAAAACAAACTGAAAACTAACCTTACCGAACCTAACCTTACAAATACAGTCAAACTGACAACACATATTCATATACCTAGAGCTACAATGTAAACACACACACACACACACACACACACACACACACACACACACACACACACACACACACACACACACACACACACACACACATATATATATATATATATATATATTCCTCCTCGCAGTATTTTTTTTTTTCTTTTTTCTCGTCGTTACTCGCTGTCGACTAGTGGTGTTTTGTAGCTGTTATCTTGCTGGTGATTAATTTTGTTGTGTGAATATGTAGAAAGCAAAACGTATATTTAGAACAATATATATGTAGTATTAGCACACTTCCATGCAATAACAAACATTAATACTGATATGCGATTATAATAAAATCATATACCATAATTTCGTCAGCACCGATTTAGGACAAAGTAAATAAAATTAGTGATGTGAATCATAATAAACCCCTTTACAATATCACCATCACTACCTGGACAATGAATTTAATCATATACATACATTCCTGTACACTCTTCCACACCCCGCAGACTCCCGGTCCAGCGAACTATTGCGCCTCCGTCTTCCACAAGTAGGGAGTCGACTTTTCATCTTTTAATGCAATTTTTCACACAACCAAATGCACTTGGAAAGCTTACTTCCATGGCATTTTATGTGGTTAACACACATCTTATATGAATGAATTGTTATATCACATGGCAGCGTTTGTAGATAACATAACATTATGAGATGCTCGTGTACGCATCAGTGAGACACACACATATGTGTGCGTGCACGCATACGCACACACATATATAGACACATATGCATATTTCTTTTTAGTATATCTATGGACTCAAATAAACTCATTGAGGTTGCCTTCATTTTCATGCAAGCGTTTTTTTTTTTTTTTTTTTTCTTTTTAATAACACAAACTCTGATCTTTCGTTTTCAAACAATCATGTTTACAGCAAACGGAGGTAGAAAACGTGTATGATTCTTTAAGTATCAGTTGACATCATTCTATTACTAATTTTGTGTTTTCGCATGTATACGTTTTTCCCATTAAAATCATGAAAATGGATATCAAGGGACATTAGAATTGAAGATTTTTTTTATTTATTGTGTAACGTGAATTGACATCGCTTAATCGTATATTTACATTTTATCAAAAAGGCATTTAGAGAGATTTCTGGGTGTCATAGGGGCAGTTCGAACCCTGGACTGTCTTCGCGAAACGAGAGACGTCGACGCCGATCTCCTTAAAGGCGGCCTCGCAGCGTCTCAGGTATTGGTCAGAAAGGCTTGGCGAGCGGGAGAAGATGAAGGCGAAGTCGGCGTAGTATCCGTAGTTGAATTCGACGCAGGAGTAGATGCACGAGAAGTTCTCGTAATCCGTGTCGAGGATGACATAGGGAGCGGTAAAAGCTGCAGAAATAATGGGAAAATATTTGTAATGAAACGATAATACATAAACATTAGACAATCAAGTACGATATTAGATAAAAACAATAAACTACACAAATAGCTGATAACATCAATACACACTAGAAAAGTAGAATATAGATAACTGATTTTCCACTATTTTCCTTTAACAACTTCCGATATTTGTTCAATAAATGCACAAAACAGAAATCATATTTCAATACTCACATCCTTCGTAGTCGATGGAGAGATGAGGGTCTCCAAGAGGCATGGGAAGAACCTGGCCGTTGTGCCTCATCAGGTTACCGTCAGCGTTTGATGCCAGTAGACTTGGCGATGAATTTGCTTCCATCTGTAAGTTATTAATCAGTAATTATTATTAGATAAGTTAATATAAGTAGATTACAGGTTACATATCAACATTAGAAGTGTCCAGTTAATGAAAATCCATCTTACCAAAGGAATATTCGTTGCGGACGCACTGCTTGAGGAGTTGGTATGGGTTGTTTGTGAGGGCAATTTCATACCAGACGCCAGCATACTGAAATAAAGATAGTGATATTATCTCAAACTTTTAAATATGTATGTATGTACTATATAGATACTGAACCCGATGGTTTGTTTATGTGTGTGTGTGTCAGTGACAGAGTGAGAGTAAGAGAGAGAAACGGGGGGGGGGGGGGGTAGAAGGAGAAAGAGAGAGGAGGAGGGAGGGAGAAAGAGAGGGGAGGAGAGGAGGGGGGATGGGGGAAAGAGAGAGAGGGGGAAGGGAGGGAGAAAGAGAGAGAGAGTATGCGGGAGAGAAGAGAAAAGGAGAGGAAAAGGAAGTGAGTAATAACGAAGGAAAGAAAATTAGATAGAGACAGATTGAGAAAGAGTGTGTGAGAGAAAAGGAAGGGGAGATAAAAAAAAAAAAAAAATGATTGAGTGAGTGGGTGGAGAGGAAAGAAAGACGATGAAATAAAGAAAAGGAAGGAGAGACATTGTGATGGTGATGGAAAGAGAAAAAAGAGAGAGGTGGAGAGGGAAAAAGAAATAGAAGAGAGAGATAATCTATTGACAACATACGAACAACACATTGCATTCAACAAACCTTCGAATGATTAGGTATTTGTTTTTCGAAGAGAGCTTTCTCGTTTACAGCTGGACACTTTCCTGGTACTAAGAAGTCAGGGATTTTGTCAGCTGCAACTGCTGCCACAAAGGCGACGAAGAACACAGCAGATTTCATGATTTCTCTCTTGCTTTTCCACAATTGATCCTGCTGTAGAATACGCGACTCCAGCTTTATATAGGAATGCTTAACATGGAGAGAGGTTCAAGATAAGGCAAGATTACCTATTTTCATTGTATTTTTAACAGGAATAAAAGATACCATTTTCATTCATCTTAATATACGAATTATGGATGTACTGAATTTCTATTTAATACCAAGTTTACATTCTATAATCATACTACTTTACAAACATAAGGAAAAGAGTGAAAACAATAAATCGGAGTTCGTGGCAACATGACTCGCAGAGCTCCGCCTCCGAGAAGGTAAGCTCCACCCACAGGGTTGAAGCAGGTATATAGCCACGTGGGGACGTGGGACTTTAACTTCACAATTCTCCCTGAACTGAACTTCATCTGATAGCATTATGTTTTCCACACTCGTGGCCGCTACCCTTGTGGCCCTTGTCTCTGCTGACGGCATCCCAGACTTCGTTGTTCCTGGAAAATGCGCTAAAGTGGCCAACCAGGACAAGTTCGATCTTCGCAAGGTGTGTTTTTATTAGTATTACACATATTTAAATAATGTCTTAAATATGAGTGAGTATCCGTTTACATTCCCATTGTATTAATACTGTGTCTTCCCCAACAGTACTCGGGCCGCTGGTATCAGACTCAGATCATCGACAACGCCTATCAGCCATTCACTCGCTGCATCCACTCCAACTACGACTACTCTGACTCTGACTACGGCTTTAAGGTGACCACAGCTGGATTCAGCCCCAGCAACGAGTACCTCAGAATGCAGGGCAAAATCTACCCCACAAAGGACTTCCCTGCTGCCCACATGCTCATCGATTTCCCTACCGGTACGTGTGTAACACTTATCCTTGCGGGTATGTTAATGTTTTGTGGAATCCAATGCTTTATTACTAATATGTGTAGTTAACTCCACCTAATGAATTTCCTTTCATCAACAGTTTTCGCCGCTCCCTATGAAGTGGTCGAGACTGACTACGACAGCTACTCGTGCGTGTATTCCTGCATCGAATGAGCGGCTACAAGCCGAGTTCGGCTTCGTCTTCTCCCGCACCCCACAGACTTCCGGTCCAGCGAACGACAAGTGCGCCTCCGTCTTCCGCAAGAACGGAGTCGACTTCGCCTTATTCAATGACGTTGCTCATACGGCCGAATGTGTCTACAGAGCGTAGACGTCCGATGCGCCATAAACTTTCTAATTGTCGCATTTACAACAAAAAACTATTTCTATATCAAAGTGATACATACCTGGCAAATGCTGGATAATGCGTGCGTGAATACATCACCAATAAAACTATGTGTATATATACGACATAATTAGTTTTGAATTTTCCTTCACACTAGAAGTATTATATATTTATGTATGTTTACGCCCCATGCAGACATTTGGAAATCTTACTAGAAAGATTATTAGACACTAGAATCAATCAGAAATGTATAATAAAACATGAAATAACAGTTTTGAAAATCCTTTATCTTATTTCCAGATTTCCTGTAGAAAAGGGATTTCACATTTATTACGTAGTGACATTTAATTGCGTCAAAATATCAGGAAATTAACAATGCACTTCATTCCATATCTTTATTATGTAATGAGCTATGTTTCGATATGACGGGGATTTATTTTCCATATGGAAATAGGAGAGGACAAGTTTGGTCTTATAAATATTTGGAAACAAAAATGTACTCTCAGGGGAAGCTGTCGAGTACCTCAGTCAAAGATGCAAAAGGGAACTTACTGGACACAACATTTGGAGCGCAAATCTGGATAGTTAGACTTACGAGAAAGGAACTAGGTTTATGAATCATTCGTGAAAGAATTGCCGAACTAAACACTATCACATTTTCTAGCATCTCCATGTGACATTTTAACAAAAGCCGGTAAAAAAAAAAAAAAAAAAAAAATACAAAGACCTCATCAGTCATACCATACAAATATCTTCTCATAAGGCAATACACAACTCCACTTTGTGATGTCAAGCATTTTCAAACAAAGTAAAAATCCCATTCATGAGGGTTGTCGCAGTTTCTTTTATTTACATTTAGATATATCATCGAACAGATCCATCTTTTACTAAATAGATATTGCTCATATACAATCCAAACTGCCACTCAAAAAGATGCAATTGAATATAACACTGGTATAGTGTGAGTATAATATAAAGAAAAACACAGTAATCCAATAATATATAAGATTATGAAACCAACAAAAGTATGTATATCATGTATCAA